GTCCCGGCGAACAGGAGCAACCACCCAGTTACTCTGACGATGGAACCGAGAGTGTCCGAAACGGCAGTCTCAAAATAAATCGGTCCATGTCCTCGTAACTTCTTCTTCCGCTTCTTTGGGGGATTGTGAAAACGAAATAATAAAACTGATGTGATGGGGCGAAAGGTCCGACTATGAAGTTTTGGAACGAAGCAGGATCTTTAGGATCCACACTATGCTTAGACAAATCCAACCGTGATGGAACGACTGCGTGCAGCGGATGGATCACGAACACCTAACCAAGTGGCGATAGGGAGAACAAACACCCCGTTACAAGAACACTAACTTTTTTTATTAAATCACTTATGAACACACCCCAAGAACATTGGAGGACATCGCTCAGGATCGACGTGCCTGGACGAGAGGATTGAAGATTGGATCAACAGTCTACAAATTCAACCGGATCGCCGCTACCCATTCCAAAAGAGCGATTTGCGAATCTTAGGATCGCTAACCAACAACTCAAACTCACTACTGTTAAATTCGATGAGTAAGTGAAATGGCGTCGCCCGAAGGATGGCAGCATTGCCTGTCAGCCAAAGCCAACCGTTCTAAGTATAACTGTGTACAAGGTTTCCGGTAGACTCCTTTTCTCGTGAGTTTCAACCGAAATACTTAAATGTGGCTTTGATTCGAACAAACTACTTAAGCAGCGTTGGAATATTAATTATTGTGAAGCCTTATCCCAAGGTATCTCAGCTACGTGAGGATTCCGGCGTTTAAATGAACTTCTCTCAGACCGCCTGCAAAACTTCAGCTTGCTAAACAATTATTGCTAAAGAAGTATTACTTTCTCCTCCACTTTCAACGCCATCGCAAATTTAACTATATTTTATTGAAAATATGCCCAAAGATATTTTTAGACTTATTTGGCCGACAATTTTTCAAGTTTTATATTTAAGAAAGCGTATCTTATGGTTTTAATAAACTTTCCAAATTGCCGAATAATTTTGAAACCTTCCGGCCAGTACACTTAAATCTAAAGTTTGAAAACTATATGCCATATATATTCTGCCTAAGAAAAATGGTATAACCTTATAAATCCAAATATAATTTTAAAAAATCACGCACAAGAATATTATTTTTGTACTCCTTCGGTAAAAAACCATGCCTTCTAAAATTCTATACTGGAGGAAGGGGTATCTTTAGGTTTCCAAAGTTGAACAGGTAAAGCATGCACAGAAGTTTGCAGTATTTATGGGATACAGTCATTACTGCAGCCAGCAATATCTGGCGGCGTACTTGCACAGGGAGGAAGACTAGCTAAGGGCCAAGATGACTGCCGT